ATCAACTAGGCAAAGGTTCCAAGCAATTGGTTCCTGACCGGAAGTTTGATTTCAGGTCCCGATTGATTGTTTTCTTTCTCTTTGCCTTGCAGGTAAGAGTAATGGCAAATTAAAAGACAGGGAAAAAGCATGATATGAGATACTCTTGCTCTCGACCCTAATGATATGGGATACTTTTGCTCTTAAAGGAAAAAGTATAAGATTTTGATGTTGGTGTAAACCTTTTCGATCGAAAGGGGTTTCTTACTGAGGAAATAAGTTTGGCATTTTAAGGGACTTGGTTGAAGAAGTATTCTCAAAGAGAAAGAATGCTGAATATGTTGAGAAGTTTGGTTGCAGATACATTCTCAGCAAGGAATGAGAGTTAGGCATTTTGGAGGTGTTCTTTGCCATGGAGGACGAAGGTCGACATATATAGGGATTTCCCAATAGCAAATAGTGGTGCGGATGTGACCTTGTCACCCACACTTGTCAGCAACAGTGGTGTAGTTGGAATAGTGAACTTTACGCGTTTTAACTTTGCCAGAGTTGTCCTTGATATACAAAAAGCTAAGATTGCGTCTGAGAAATGTTGACAATTAAAAATCTGGCTTTTGAAATTCGGAGAGCGAGGTCTCTTCAATTTTTGAACAGGTAGCTATGTTGCCTCTCATTTTATAGAGGTATCGATTGTATTCAAAATGCACGCTTTAAGGGTTACCAGCCTATGAAAACTGTCTCTATTGTATTTCAAAGATTTCCCTCTATCAAACCCTTTTCTTCCATCATTTCTGGAAATGGTTTGCCCATCTAACCTTTGTTTAGATTTGAGTGTTGAGAAAGATACAGACAAGCCGCATTAGGATAATATATTGTGCCCATCTTTCTTATCTTTTAATGGCCCTCTTACAGTTGGAGACTCTGTGATGAGGGATGATATAACGGCTACATTAGTAGCTAAGAATCTTCTCACTCTTAGAGATAAAAGAATACTTTCAGAGAGGTCTGATGAATCGGTTGTTCAAGACTCATTGGCTTTTAGTGTTCAATGTGCGAGTTATGTATCCAACATGGGCCAACGTCTACTTGCTTGAACTTGCCAAGTCGAATCATTAGTGGCTGAGGTGGCAAGTCTTTGACAAGAAATTAAAGGGTTCAAGCATAAGAATAAACAGTTTCACAAACTTGCAAATATTTACTCGATGAGCATGAAAAGAAAGCTCGAGTAGCTGCTGGAATCCAAAAGTCGTATTCAAAGTGATCACCAGACATTCGTGGCTAGATTTCGGAGGCAATTGGTGCATTGCCCTTCTGGTGTTTTGCCAAGTGTTAGGGCGTCACATGATCAATCTTAAGTGCGTTCTCCTTCTGGGGACTGCTAAGTATTCAGGCTTCACATAAGTAACCTTTGTGAAGGCCTCCCCATTTGTTTCTTTTTGTAGTTATAACTCACGTGTATGTATAAAATTTCTCCTTTTTGATTTTTTACATATCTGAAAGCTTCTACTTTAGCTTGTTATATATGGGAACCTATGGAAACTTCTGGTTCCATAATTAATGAATTAATGGGAAATGATGGAAACACCTAGTTCCATGAATATAATTCAATGAGCCTTTAAGTATAGATATTTTCTAATATCATCACATGAATCCTCAGGCATTATGAATTCATCAAAGTATTTCTTGTGTAAGATGTTGATGGTCACAAAATCGGGTTTTGCTAGGTTCACCATTTCTTATTCCTAAAAGGAAGAAATTGAAGTATGACAGAAATTGCAATAATTAACTCATAACACATATAACATGTGTCCACACAAAATGTTAGAACTTCAAGTCCTTAACATTATTCATATTTTGAACTTCAGGTCAAAACATTATTCATATGTACTCGAAATTTATTCTCAAAATCGTCATCATTAGAACCTTTAGGTTCATATTTTTGGAATTCATTCCCATACTTAATATGTACATGGATTAAGGAACTTATGATCCTCATTTACATGAATGAAGGAACTTCTGGCCCTCATTTAATAGTTTGTGGACTGAGGCGCTTATGGCCGTCATTTTAATTTAGTTAAGGAACTGATGTTCTCTCGGTTAATTCAAAAACTTCATGTTTTGGTTTAATCAAGGAACTTCGGGTCTGATCTTTTTAATGATGGAACTTCAAGTCCAATCATTTTATATGATGAAGATTAAGAAACTTCAGGTTCTAATCTGATTGAGGAACTTCGGGTCCTTTAATACTCATCATAACAAAATGTAGTACACTAAATAAATTAAAGCAATAGGTAGTAATTTCCAGCTATGGTAAATAAATTGCTTTTAAGTAAATAAAGGTTGTGATAAGGGCTTTAATTCACCACCATTCACATAAATAAATCAAAACTTAAAGCAAAGGGCGATAATTCCACCCACTGTAAATAAATTACTTTTAAATAAATGGAACTTGGGAAAGGGTTTTAAGCCAACACCATTACAAAAAGTATCAGGCCCCCTTTTTTTTATTATTTTTTTTCCTTTTCCACATGGTGCAATGCACCTCCAGAAACTTTGTCCCCATTTCCTTTATTTTTTTTTATTTTTTATTCTTTTCTGTGGACAATCCCAACACATCAAAATAGTTCTTCTGGAACTTCATGGTTGTTGGTTTTTCTTTGCCCTGGGCAGAAGCCATCCTACTTAATTATCTTTCAACTTCTTGTAAGTAACGAGGGGCTCTGGAGAATCTTTAGAGAGAGTAATAGGGTCTAAAAACGCCAAGCTTTATTTCAGAGGACTGCAACACCATCAAAAGAAGGCGGCCATAGGCGCTGGGCCGAGCAACGTAAAACTCAAAGCTAGAATTACCGTGAGTCCTCAAGATCCGTCGAGAGTGATGCGATCTAGGTTTCCAAGTTTGATGAGATTCTTCTGGATCTCTGGAAACCAGTTGTCAGGTACGAGTTTTCTCATCTCGTGACGACTACAAGTCGTTGTAAATTTCAATTCTCATCGGAATTTGGTGGGGCGCTTCTGGCGTGGTGGGAGAGACAAAAAATGGACATACTTTTTATTATGCAAATAATAGAAGTCATATAACAAGATATATAGTTGCCTCAAGAAAATCAGTAGTACAAAAATTTGAAGATGAAATTAAAAGATTTTCTTATCTGTGAGATTCCAGCGGATAGAGTTGAGGGGTAGGTAGTGCTTCACCGGATTTATGGCGTTGTGTTTTCCACTGACATGAGAGCTTCTCATGCTGATAACGTGTTGTAAAATTAACGATATGTGTGCAGTGGAACATAAAGTAAATGAGACACAATATTTACGAGGTTCGGCAAGTATGCCTATGTCATTGGGGCAGCAGTAGTACTTTCTTTCATTATCTAAAATAATAGGAGTACAAAATAACTCTCACTATTTTCTCTTTTCTCTCTGGCCTGATTCACCGATAATTTATTCCTCATCTCTCTTCTTTTCTCTTCTCTTTCTTTCCTTTGTATGTTTTTCTCACATCCCTTTATTCTTTTTTTTTCTTCTTCTTCCTTCCACCGTATGCTCTCATTTTATAGGCAAAAGGTTACTATAGCAAATACTATTCACTTTACAAATTTTCCTCAAATGAATAGTAAAATATTGTGCATGAATAGTAATCCATCCGTTTTTTCTTTGGATGAATAGTAAAAACTATTCATGTGGGCCGTCCACATATTATATTACAATATATATATATATATATATGTTTATTTGGCGAGAGATTAGAAAAGGATTTAGAAAACAATGATAAAAGTTTATGCATTAACATATATATTGCGGTAGTAATGTGGATCTTCATTTTAGCTTTGGAATTTAGGTAGGGAAATACAACAGGCCTAGATGGAGATTGGCTTTATTAAATTTCGCAAAGTATTATATTACTATTATTGATCTTATTGGTTGGTTAATGTGATATGATGCTAATTGGATAAATACTTCTCTTGTGTGTTTACTTATCATTGGTTATGAAATTATTGCTAAAATGTTATTCATTTAGAATATACAGTGATACATGTGAAAGATGAAATGACATTATTTCTGCATTACTCATGATTTGAGATGTGGTTGGAACTTCAGTGTTGAGATTGGAATTATAGAAATGAGGGTAGTTGGAAATGATCTTTTGTATAGTTGAATCTATTCATTGTGAAACCACTTCGAGGTGAGCCCGGTATGCACATTAGAATAGGGTATCAACGAGAGAATTTGTTGATGTGGGTGATTTGGGATGGAGATCAATGAATTAGATAAGATGACTAGTAAACAGGGTTTATGAACTTGGGATATCTTATGGGCGTTGGTTTGTATAATCGAACATTCGAACCGCCACTGCATTGGTAAAATACATGGTATGGGACGTGCAGGTCTGCATGTTTTATTATATAAATTAACTGGTGTAACCGAAGAGATTGCATTGCATTCATGCATTGTTATGAATAATGATTTGATATTTGATTATGGATGATGCCATGGCACATAATTCAATATTGTTAACTTACTGTGGTAAGGTTATGTCCCACCTGAGCTATTAAAGCTCATCTCTCTATTGTGATGCAAGTTTATGAACTTTCAAAAGGGTAGGTAGGATGAGATTAGATTGGATGTGAGAATAGGAAGTTTACTCATCTATTTACTGTAGAATTGTAAAGAATCCTTGATTTGTTTAAGAATCATGAGTTATTTTTATAAGAGGAATTTATTTACCAGCCCATTTCAATTTCCTTTTATTTATTTAGTTTTTAACTCATGTTTCATATTCGGGTTCGAGTTTTTCCACCGTCCCCGAATCCGGGGCGTGACAGAATGTTATCAAAGCATAGGAATTAGACACTATTGGGAAAAGTGTGGGAGAAGAATGTCATGGCCTTCTTAGGTTTGAATATAGAATAGTTTGTGACATGGGTTTCTAGAAGTAGAGATGATATGCAAAGTCTAATGTGAAGTTAGTTTTTGCTTCTTTTTTTTTACTTTTTTTTTAATTTTTATAGGAAAGAAATGCATTAAAACAAAAAACCACACTTAGAACCACTACCTAAAGAGTCGAATAACAAGGCAGCACAGGCAAAATTTGAAATACGATACTCCCAAAAATGACTATTACTACTGGTAAGACGCTGCTTAGCAAAGGCATCTGCAAGAAAATTTGTTTCCCTAAAGGTATGCTTCCATATCACCAACAAACAGGCTGAAGCAAACCATTTAATGTCATCTAGGCAAGTGCTTGTATTCCAAGGAGGTTCAACCGTCCCTTGAAATGCTTCGATGATGAGTTTGGAGTCACCCTCGATGATAATCTTAGTGAATCCTTTCCTTTTGATATATGCGAGACCTTCCTTTAAAGCTCTAGCCTCTGCTTCATTGATTGTTGCACCATTCAAATTAAAGGCCCCTACTCCAATAACAAAGCCATCTTCATTTCGAACTATAAAACCAGGTCCAGTTTTTGCATTGCTGACATAACCATCGAAGTTAAGCTTTACAAAACCATTGTCTGGAGGATGCCACTTGATGAAGGGATCATTATCAAGACTCCCAATAGAAGACGGCCAGCAATCAGCTTTGAAAAACTCTTGACCCACACTGGAAGCAATATGAGTCCTTTTAGGACAAGGAGACTCCTGACAAAAAATTGCATTGTTACGATCATTCCAAATATGCCAACATATAATAATTACTTTACTTAAATCATTTAACTCATTTCTATCCGAGCAGGATAGGACTAGACTCAGCTTGTGCTGATCCCAACACTTGTTAACTATAAAATCATTAACTTTGAGATTCCAGTCAATAATCCCCCTTTGGTTTTCAGGGATAAGGTGATAGAGGGGATAAGGAAAACCCCCATAATGAGTCCAGAAATTAATATCTCTGCCATTACCCACCATCTACCTAGAACCCTTTAAGATTACATCTCTACTCTGAAGTATACCTTTCCAAGCCAAAGAGTGATTTTGTTTGACTGAACTACTAAGGAAATCCACTCTCCTTAAATACTTTCAACTTACTAGTTGAACCCACCAGTTATTTGGTTGCATTAAAACTTTCCACCCTAACTTAGCTAAACAAGCCTTGTTGAAATGATCAAGTCTTCTGATCCCTAAATCCCCTGCATTCTTTAGGGTGCAAATTTTATCCCAAGCCATGGGAAATAACTTTTTGACTACACCAAAACAAGTCTCTGCATTCATTGTTCAACTTAAGTAGTCCCCTTTCAAGACACTTGAAACGGGACATAAGATGGTTAGGCATAACAGTGAGATTAGAGTTAATCAAGTCAAACGACCCACCTTAGAGAAGGTGTTAGCCTTTCGACCCGCCAATTTTTGTTTAACTCTTTTGATAAGTTCTGCCGCATTCACCGGTTCTTTCCAAAACACAATGTTGTGGATACCAAGGTACTTCCCAATAGTTATTTGTTGTTGAATTTGAAGAATATTAACCATATCATTTCTAATATGGGCAGAGGTATTAGAAGAGAAATATAAGGAGGACTAATGGAAGTTAATTTGTTGTTCAACAGCTTTGGAGAAGTTATTAAGGACGGTAAGAATACTTCTAGCTCCCCTAGTCGTGGCCCTTGCAAACAGAAGACAGTCGTCCGCAAAAACAAGGTTAGAAACTTTAAAACCTTTTGGGGGGGGGGGGAAGAATACCAATATGGTTTGAGGAATTCTCAGCCATCATATTGAGGTGTCTAATTAATGGTTCCATACACAGGATGAAGATATAGGGAGAAAGCGGGTCTCATTGTCGAATACCACGTTTAGGGTAGAAATAACAATAAACTTCACCATTGATAATGACAGAGAAGGAAACAGATGTAATACAATGCATAATAAGATTAATCCAACTTTGATTGAAACCAAATTTAGATAAAACAAACCTTATATGGTCCCAGTTCAAAAAATCATATGCCTTCTCCAGATCTAGCTTGATTCCCATGGCACCATGTCTTCCTTATTTTTCTTTTTAAAACCATGTAAACATTTCATGAGCAATTAAAATGTTATCTCGGATGGAACGGCCCGGAGCAAAAGCCACTTGGTTCATGGAAATACACTTATCCAAAAGAGGTTTAAGTTTATTGAACAAATTGATGGGCCTAAAGTTGCTCACCACCTCAGGGTTTTCCACCTTAGGAATTAAGGCAATATTCGTATGATTATACTGACTAATAAAAGCATGATCAGTGAAGCTTTCCTTTACCATACTAATAACTGAATCCTTGACAATATCCCACTATTCATGGAAGAAGCGAACACTAAGACCATCAGGGCAAGGAGCCTTTAGAGCCCTAATGCTCTTAATAGCAAACCAAATCTCATCGGTAGTTATAGGGTTCAAAAAAGTGGCATTATCCTCCAAAGAAATGCTGTGACTAATGATATCCCCAATGGTTCGAAGATCACTCAGAGTGGGTGGGGAGGGGTGTCACAAGAGAAATGTTTCCTAAAATCTTGAATAAAAAATTGTTCCATCCCTTCATTAGCTGCCCACCAGTTACCTGCTAATTAGGGCTTATTTTGGGGTTAATTTTATGATGTTATTCTTCTCACCAAGGAGGGAAATATATATTGTACAAGATTGATTTGCAAGGAAAGAAACACCAAATAATATCTATCCTAATTACATCAAGATTACAAGGACCCAAACAGGTAACTAAGCTAATTACAAAGGACAACTCGCCAACCATCCCCCTCAAGTTGGTACTAAATGTCATTCATGCCCAACTTGATGAGAGAGTTTTAGAATGCTTGACTGGCAACAACTTTAGTTAAGATGTCCGTTAATTGATCCTCTAACTTTACAAATGAGAATTGAATAATATTCCCATCCAACTTCTCCTTAATGAAGTGTCTATCAACTTCCACATGTTTCGTGCGATCATGCTGGATTGGGTTGTGTGAGATATCAATCGCTGCTTTATTATTACAAAACTTTGAAGCCGACATTGAAGGACACTTAAGTTCTTCGAGTAACCTCTGAAGTCATAATAATTCACATACTCCTTTTGCCATACCTATGTATTCAGCCTCTGCAGTTGCTAAAGCAACCACTTTCTATTTCTTACTCCGCTAAGTCACTAAATTTCCCCTCACAAATGTAAAGTAACCTGATGTGGACCGTCGATCAGTAATATTCCCTGCCTAATCTGCGTTGGTATCCGGCAATGACCATTCTTAGAAAACATGATGCCTCTACCTGGGGCGGACTTTAGGTATCGTAGAATGTGTTCAACAACACCTATATGCGTATCACTCGAGGAATGCATAAATTGACTAATAGCACTTACTACATATGTAATATCAGGCTTGATATGAGATAAATAAATTAACCTCCCAACTAACCTTTGATAACAATCTCGGTTAGTGGGAACTTGATCAGGGTGCACGGCAAGATGGTGATTTTAGACTATAGGGGTGTCAACCTGTTTACAATCAAGCATTCCAGTTTCGGCTAACAAGTCAAAAACATATGTTCTTTGAGATAGAAATATTCCTTGTTTAGATCGAGCTACTTCTATACCCAAGAAACATTTCAGTCCACCAAGATCTTTCATCTCGAACTTCGTTGCTGAGTAATCTTTCAGGCTTGAGATTTCCTCTTTATCATCACCCGTAACAATCATATCATCCACATAAACAATAAGTGTCGTCAATTTACCCATTCGACGTTTCAATAAAAGTGTATGATCGGAATTGCTCTGCTTGAACCCATACTTCCTCATAACTGTCCGGAACCTACCAAACCATGCCCGAGGTGATTGTTTCAATCCATACAATGCCTTATTCAACTTACACACCATTTCGGGTTATGAAACCGATGCATAACCAGGTGGAATATCCATATACACTTTCTCTTTAAGATTACAATGTAAGAAAGCATTTTTCACATCAAATTGCTGTAATGGCCAATTCAAGTTAGCCGCCAAGGAAAGTAACACTCTTACTGTATTAATCTTTGCTACCAGAGCAAATGTTTCTATATAATCAACACCATATGTCTGAGTGTATCCCTTGGCCACCAATCGTGCTTTGTATCATTCAATTAACCCATCAGCTTTGTACTTGATGGTGTACACCCATCGACATCCCACTCTCTTCTTTCCTCAAGGTAGCATAACTAAATCCCATGTTTGATTTTTCTGAAGTGCATCCATTTCTTCCTCAATTACCTTGGTCCATCGATCATCAGATAGTACCTCCTTCAATGAATTTGGTGTGCTATCATTGGATATTTGTTGTACAAAAGCTTTGCCGAGTTCTGATCATTTATGTGATGACACATAGTTGGCAATAGGATATTTAGAGTCTTTCATTGTTTCCGGTAAATATCAATTGGGTGGCTTTCCCCGGTTGTGCCTGAAAGGTAACTGATAATTCAGAACATCAGATACATCAATAGGGATAATATATCTTACTTCAGGAATATTCTCTGGTTTATAGTCATCTGGTGGTACTATATTTTGAAACGAAGAGGAGTAGTATCAGTAAAAGTCTCAAGATTGATAAGTGGCAGCACTGTTACCGTGGATAAGGACGGCACTGTCGTGGGTAGGCACTAGTTCTGTGGGCAGCGATGCTGCTTCTGTTTGCTGGGATGGCACCGCAGCCACTGCGGGCTTGGCTAATAGTGGTAGCGGAAGATCAGTGGTAGCAGCCATGGTCTAAACCTGCTCGTCATGCAGTGTCTTCCCCTGAAGATGAAGGTTAGAAGAAGCTAGAGAGTAATACATCTCAGACTCAGAAAAAGTAACATCCATGGTAGTATACATCCTACGTGAATGAGGGTGGTAACAACGGTACCCTTTTTGATGTAGTCCATACCCCATGAAAACGCAACGGAGAACACATGGGTCAAGTTTTGTCCGTTTATTTTTATGTAGATGAACAAAGGCAACACATCCAAAAACTCGCTGTGGGAGCACCAATACGGATGGTAAAGGCACGAATGTAGCAAGAACTTGCAAAGATGTAAGAAAATTCAATACTTTGGATGGCATGCAGTTGATAAGGTAAGTGGCAATCTGAAGAGCAACATCCCAATAGAAGTGGGGAACATCCGTCCCAATCAATAGTGATCGAGCCGTTTCTAATAGATGGCGATTTTTGCACTCAGCCACCCCATTATGTTGAGGAGTCTAAGGACAAGTAGTCTCGTGGAGTATTCCGTGACTAGTTAAATAATGTATAAAATCATTATTAACATATTCACCACCATTATCAGAACGCAAAATTCGGATCTTAGTATAAAACTGTGTCTGAACCATGGTGTGGAATGTCTTAAACACCAAAAACACATCACTTTTATTTTTAAGAAGGTATAACCATGTCATCCGTGTGCAATCATCTATAAATGTTACAAACCACCTAATACCAGATGAAGTAGTAATCGGAGATGGTCCCCAAACAGAATGAACAAGACCAAAAGGAATAACACTTTTATTATAATTCAATGGATAAGAAACACGGTGACTCTTGGCAAGTACGCAAGTGTCACATTTAAAGTCTGAAACCGAACAACTAACAAATAAATCCGGAAACATATGCTTTGAATAATTGAAAGACGAATGACCCAAACGGTGATGCCATAACCATATCTGACGTTGTTTGTGATCAATGGCTCCTTGGGCAAGATTGACCCATCATGTACTGACATCGTCCATAAAATAAAGATGCCCCCTCTTAATACCACGACCAATTATCTCCTTCGTGAGAATATCCTGAATAAGACAAAACTTCGGATACAATAGTACACAACAGTTCAATTGCTCAGTAGCTTGGCTCGAAGAAATCAATTTATGTTTTAGTGAAGGTAAAAGTAGTGTATGCTGCAAAAAGAGGGTAGGCGTGAGGTGTACAGTGCCACCGCCAGTTACCGGTGAGGTGACACTATTAGCATTAGTAATATTTCGTCGAAGTGGAACAGTATCACAAGATAAATCAGTGGGGTCATAGGTAATATGGTCTGTGGCATCGGAGTCAATGATCCAACCGGACTGAGTATCACAATTATTCATATTAAAAGCATAACCACAATTACCTGAGGACTTCGGAGGCATGTCGGAAGAACTCGAAACAGGAGGATTCATGGTAGGTTCAGTTAGGGTAGTAGTGTATAGTATAGGGGTAAGGTCGGTTAGGATGAAATTGTTTCCATCGTGGAGTGGTGGTAGGTTCTCCATGGGAGGGCCGAGTTTGCTTGAGGGAACGGGCAGAGTAGAAATCCTAGGATCTCTGCTCTTATACCATGCTAATTAGGGCTTATTTTGGGGTTTAATTTTTTGATGTTATTCTTCTCACCAAGAAAGGAAATATATATTGTACAAGATTGATTTACAAGGAAAGAAACACCAAATAATATCTATCCTAATTACATCTTGATTACAAGGACCCAAGCAGGTAACTAAGCTAATTACAAAGGTCAACTCTCCGACATTACCTTTCTTAGATATCTCATTCCTTCTTCTTTTTCTCTTTTTTTTTCTGAATTATGGCAGTCGTTTGGAAGAATTTGGTGTTTCTATCACCCAGTGTAAGCCAGCTAACCTTTGCCTTTTGGGCCCACGTCACCTCTTCATTTCTAAGAACATAATTAGGCTCTTCTCTTAAACACTTTTCAGCTTTCAGAACCGACAAATCTCCTTTCATAGCTTGATCTTGTGTTTCGTTAAGACTATCAAGAAGAATTTGTTTTTTGAGCTTGGCGTCTCCAAAAACTTATTCCATTTTCGAACAAGGAATTTAAATGTTCCAACACAAGCTTTAAACTTGCCTTTATTGTCTACATTACCATCACAAACGCAAGTTTTTTTAACAAACTCCTTGAAGTTTGGGTGTTGTAGCCACATAGCCTCAAACTTAAACAGGTAATTCTTTTTGTTTTGATTAAAACACCTGGTAGAAAGCAAAATAAGGTTGTGGTCCGAGCTAATAATGGGGAAATTATGAAGTTTGCAATCTAGGTTATCCGGTAACCATTGAGGATTCACTGGCACAATTTAATCTTTCAAATATAATAGAATTATCCTGATGTCTGTTACACCATGTAAAAGGGACACCAGTAGCATTTAAAGAGATTAAATTACCTTTATTTAGGAAGATAATGAACTTATTTATGTCTCTAGAAATGTTGGAGGAACCCCCAAATTTTTAGACAAGCTTGCAATGTTATTAAAATCACCAATAGGACACCAAGGCTGAGGATTAGGGTTGAAAGATAAAAGTAGATCCTAGAGAATGCTGTAATTGCTTCTGAGGGAAAGCATAAACAAAGTGCAATAAAACTAATAATTTGAAGAGTGATCTTTCACCAAACAATGCACATGTCTAGGAGAAGCATTAATGACACAACCTTAGAATTCCAAAGAAGACATGAACTACCTGATCTACCATCAGGATCACAACCATAGACCTGATCAAAATACTTGCCACAAACATTCCTAGGGACCTTGTCAAAAGAAGTTTTTGTTTCCAAAACTCAAAAAGGCCCACCATCATTAAACTAGACACAAAATTAAAATTGCTATTAAACTTATTCCTTCCTACTCCTCTGCAATTCCATGACCCAATCTTCATCAATCTAGCTCTTCCAAATAACAAGTCCCAACCTCATTCGCACACTCTTCTCGAATTCTCTTTCTTGGACTCAACATACCCACTATAGTCCTCGGGGAGGGCTTGTTATTTTCAGCCGCCTGGGACGCAGAGACCACATCCACATCCATCTCCCCCTTGTTACCCATAATGATATTGCTTACCCCAGATCCAACATCCTCCTGCACACAATCCATTTTGCTTGGAGACTCTCTCCATTCCTGAACCAAGTCAGCTTTTGAGACCCACTTATTCTTCACAGTTTTTCCAACCTCTTTATCGACAGCCTTTGGCGGTTGAGCAGCAACTTCCTTATAAGACTTCCCTCCCTCACCTTGACTAGCACCAAAACATCTCTCAACTTTCTTTTTCCATTTTGGGACCAGCGTGGTCCAACCTTCCTCCTCTTGAGGTTCAACAGTCAATCTCTACCCTACTTCCTCATTCTCAGAGAAGTCCTCATCGGGAAGTAAAGCCATAGGAAAGCAAAGCATCACATCATCCTGTAAAGAATCCTTAATGTCAGCATCTACATTGGTGTTTTCAGGGAAAATCGCAGGTTCATCCTCGAACAGTCACTCAATCAAGAAGCAACACTCATCTACTTCAAACTTCAGACAAACATGTCCATCAGACTTTCTACGGCCACAATAAAAACAAACTTCAAACAGCTTCTCATAGCTTACCAGAATGGGGCGATCATCATCATCATTAATAATTAATACTCTTTCCAGTGGCTGATGCGAAATATATAAGCACACAAATTAAACCTTTTTTTTATCAATTGTAGCAAAGTATGTAAGTAGGGACCGTTCTAGGCCAGGGATTAGGAGGGATTGCTAAATCACTTAAAAACTGACTCAACAACGTAAAAACAAGTTTAAAACACTAAACTAGACTCAAAGAATGCAAAACTAAACTTTAAAACACCAAAACAAACCAAAAGACTCAAAACAGCAAACAAACACTCAAAATTGTCTTAAAAACACTTTCTGGGCAGTTTTGAACACAAACACAAAGTTGGACGAAAATAGGTTTAAACTTGACTCAAAACACTTAAAAACACAAACTAAATTGATTTCTAACTAATCTAATACTTCAAAATAAATAGGGATTTGGTTTTGACGAAAATTGAAAACAAAAACAAAACTTGTAAATTGAACAGATTCTAAAACGAATTTGGTTGAATTGAAGGGATGGAAAACTAGCT